CATCCCCCCCAGCTGTCCCTGTCAGGAAGGAGGGGGGGAATCTGATTGCAGCCATCCCCCCAAACTGTCCCTGTCAGGAAGGAGGGGGGAATCTGATTGCAGCCATCCCCCGCCCCAGCCGTCCCTCTCAGGAAGGAGAGGAAATCTGATTGCAGACATCCCTCCTCAGCCATGGCTTTGCTTTCTGCAGTTTCCATTACCTACAGTCAACCCAGGCCCAAAAATGTCAAATGGAAAATTGCAGAAATAAACAATTTCTAAGTTTTAAATTGCATGCCATTCCAAGCATCGTGATGAAGTGTCCCGCTGTCCCACTCTGTCCTTCCTGGGATGTGACTCGTCCCTTTGTCCAGCGTGTGACACTGTGTGTACACTGCCCGCCCCTTAGTCACTCTGCAGCTGTCTCAGTGAGCAGGTTGACAGATCACAAGAAGAAGAAGGGTGAATACAGCATGATAATGTATTTTGAGAAAGAGGGCAAGACCAAATTCATGTCACTTTTATCATGCTGTGTTATAGTTATTCTGTGCTGTTGTTACTTTCTTGCTGCACCTACTTTATAAGTTAAATGTGATGATGGGATGTATGTGTCAGAACACACATACCCATCTGCAGTGTAGACAGGGTTCAGGACCATCTGCAGTTTCCGCATCCCCCCGGGGTCTGGGAGTGTGCCCCCGAGGATGAGGAGGGCCTGCTGTGCCCAGGAGGAGACCCCTAGTGCTTTCCTTCCATCTACAGAACTGAGTGCGGCGGCGGTGAGAACCTAGCGGGTGTCACATCTGAGGCAGGGGTATTTTAGAATTCCTGATCCGTGATGCCGTTCAGTTCTTTGCTGTTGATACTGAAACCTGCACTGCCGCCTGTCCTCTTTGAGCTGACAGGTTTCCCCTTTATGTTATCTGTCCTCAGAGCGGCCAGAACATGGCCATATGTGCATTTCAGTTGCCCCTGAAATAAGAGAATGCTTTCCAGAGCCCATGGGTGCTGTTCTGTAGAAAGCTGGGCACGCGGGGATCGCTCTCCCTCGTGGGCAGGCCACGTTGGTGGGTGGTGGCACCTCCCACGGCCCCATCTCTGAACTAACCGCTGTGCCTTGTCTTTCAGAACGTCTGCTTCATCTTCCCCCAGTTTTTATACCAGTTCTTCTGTGGGTTTTCACAACAGGTCAGTCCTGGGGTCTTCAGGGACAGGCTGTCTCAGTCTTCCTTTCCTTCCCCCAGGGGTGGCTGCCAGGGGGAGGGGAGACTTGGGAATGAGCAGCATTCCAGGACGCCCAGCAGCAGGCAGGGGTGAAGGGTCAGGGACAGGGCGGGGGCCACAGTGCCAGGGAGTTGGCTGGCTCTAGGTCTTCTGAGCTTTGGGCCAGTGATGATGTGGCCTCCCCAGGGCCCAGCAGTGCCAGGCCAGGCCTCCCAACACCACTGCAAGGATTAACTCCAGCTCATGGGCGTGGGCCACCTGGCACTGGCACGTTAATGGGTGCAATGTGCCCATAGGGGAAGAAGACAGTTCCCATCCAGGAGGGGTGAAGGCTCCCCGGGCACCTGCCCCAGACAGACATCTCCTGTCACGTGTACGCTTGTGGGAAGTGACTGGGACGAGACACTGAAGCTTGAAGACAGCAATCAGAATCGCTGACGTTTTACATGACTTTCCCTCCCCTTTTTTTCTTGGAGTTAGTGCTGATAGAATGGGACGAGTCAGTGTTGGGCTTTTCGCCAGCTGCAGCCTTCATCCTGAAATCACAGTGTATATCACAGACCCTAGTTTATGTCATTCAGCTTTGAAAAGTGCTGGTCTTTCTGTGCATTTCAGTTGCATTTTATGCTTGTTTTGTGATTCTTTGCAAATAAATATATTTAATCTAAAGATCCAAAAAGTTTGTAAAAACGCACTGAGGTGCCCTTCCTTGCGACGTTCCTCTTTCAGACTTTGTACGACACCGCGTATCTGACCCTGTACAACATCAGCTTCACCTCCCTCCCCATCCTCCTGTACAGCCTCATGGAACAGCACGTCGGCATCGAGGTGCTCAAGAGAGACCCGACCCTGTACAGGTACTGTCCTCCAGACAGCCCCTCCTGAGAGCAGAGAGAACGGCGAGGCAGCGCTCTGGTGGTTCTTCCAGCCGACGCCTGGCAGACCTCAGTTAGGGCCAGAGACATTCGGTATCTGCTGACTTCTTGCCTGGCCGGGAGCCGGTGTAAACTGGAAGCAGCATAGTTCAAACGGAGGTTCCTCCAGTCCCGCTGGATGGTTTACGCTGCATTTGGAGCGTCTCTGTGGAGCCAGTTTGCACTTTCCCGAGCTTTCTGATGGTCCTGAGGAAGCCACGGTACGGGCGTCTTCCTCATTGTGACCCCAGGAAACCTGTGACCTAAGTTATTCTTTAAAACCATGTGTGTTCCATCCAGTGAGGATAAAGAAAAACTAACGGCTCTGGCTTCAGTGTGTCTTTTCCCCCAAAAGGTTTTTATTTTTTTAGTGGTATGGAAGAGATATTTTTCTGCTCTTCAGAAATGCCCCCCAAGGTCTCTGGCAGATTCCGTATGTTAGTGTCTTCCATTGTCTTCTAAATTGTTTGAGTCCATTTTCGTCTGCTGTGAAGACACACTCGAGACTGGGTAATTTATGAAGGAAAGAGGTGTAATGGATGGACTCACAGTTCCACATGGCTGGGGAGGCCTCACAATCATGGTGGAAGGCAAAGGAAGAGCAAAGGCATGTCTTACACGGCGGCAGGCAAGAGAGTGTGTGCAGGGAACTGCCCTTTATGAAACCATCAGATCTTGTGAGACTTAGTCACTATCATGAGAAAAGCAAGGGAAAAAAACCTGTGATTGAATTACCTCCCAGAGGGTCCTTCCCGTGACACATGGGGATTATTGGAGTTACATTTCAAGAAAAGATTTGGGTGGGGACACAATCAAACCATGTAAGTTAAACTTTTATTTTTCAGAAAATTTTAGATGCATTTGCAGCTGTAAGAAATACTAGATTCCGTGGGCCCCGATCCTGTGTCCCTCAGTGGTGACTGCAGTCCAGCATCACATCCAGTGATGTTGCGCCCTTCACCCCTTCCCCCATTCAAATCACCCAGCTTTGCCTGCACTCACGTGCATGTGTGTACATGACACATGTGTGTCCAGGTCTGTGCAGCCTTCTCACGTGTGCGTGTGTATGTGATGTGTGTGTGTTTGGGAATGTGCAGCCTTCTCACGTGTGCATGTGTATGTGACATGTGTGTGTTCAGGTCTGTGCAGCCTCACGTGTATGTGTGTGAACTTGACATGTGTGCTTGTTCAGGTCTGTGCAGTCTCCTCACGTGTGCGTGTGTCTGCGTGATGTGTGTGTGTATGTTCAGGTCTGTGTAGATGCCTCATGTGTGCATGTGTGTACGTGACGTGTGTGCATGTTCAGGTCTGTGCAGATGCCTCGTGTGCGTGTGTGTACATGACATGAGTGTGCACGTTCAGTTCTGTGCAGTTTCTTCACATGTGCGTGTGTGTATGTGACTGTGTGTTCAAGTCTGTGCAGCCTCACGTGTGCATGTGTGTACGTGACGTGTTCAGGTCTGTGCAGCTTCATACATGAGTGTGCATATGTGACACGTGTGTGTGTGTTCAGGTCTGTGCAGCCTCACATGTGTGCATGTGTGTACATGGCACGTGTGTGTGTGTTCAGGTGTGTGCAGCCGCCTCACATGTGTGCATGTGTGTACATGGCACGTGTGTGTGCTCGGGTCTGTGCCGTCTCATGTACACGTGTATGTGACACGTGTGCAGCCTCATGTGTGCATGTGTGACACACATGTTCAGGTCTGTGCAGCCTCCTCGTGTGCATGTGTGTACATGACGTGTGTGTGTTCAGGTCTGTGCAACCACCTCACGTGTACATGTGTGTATGTGACGTGTGTGCATGTTTGGGTATGCAGTCTCCTCACATGTGTACCTGTGTGTCTATGTGACGTGTGCGTGTTCAGGCCTGTGCAGTCTCCTCACATGTGTGTGACACGTGTGTGTGTTTTTGGGTCTGCAGCCTCGCGTGTGTGTGTGTACATGACACACGTGTGTTCAGGTCTGTGCAATCTCACATGCATGGTGTGTGTACGTGACACGTGTGCATGTTCAGGTCTGTGCAGCCTCACATGCCTGCGTGTGTGTACGTGACACTTGTGTGTGTGTTCAGGTCTGTGCAGCCTCCTCACGTATGCTTCCTGCATCCACCGCCGCAGCGAAGACCACTCACTCCCCTGCCCAGGATCTGCAGGACCCATGCATGAGCCTCACTGCCCTCATCATAATATTTGGCCAGTCTATGGGATCTTGACAGCTCAGACCCAAAAATAATCAGTGTAGGTGATTAAGGACGGCGATAAGAAGGCAAACTTCTGAGTTCGTTGTACATATTCCATAGTTGGGAATAAGTCTTAACAAAATAGGAGAGCCTATGCTGTTCTAGACATGTCCGAGGGAATCCTGCACATTCTCTCTCTGAACAGGTGTAAGGTATCACATCAAGAGTGGTTGCAAGCTTGGTGAATGTCAGGTGTGTGCCTTGTGTTCCGTGTTCATTACTTTCAGAACCAGAAGCATCTCTGCCTGTAACGATAGGCAGCATCTCTCTGCCTCTGACGATCTTGCAGTGAATGTGAGAGAGAAAATAACCAAATGAAAGTTAGCCAAGGACATGAGTGCCTAGTAAGTTTAGCTGGTTGTGACGAACATTCTGCATTTGTGGCCAGAGCACAGACTTGATGTTTACTGCCCGCGCACATGTGATCACATGGAGACAGTGTCCAGGGGTGGCCACCCAGAGCTCGGGGAGGCGCCGGGCCCGGATTCTCGAGGACACACTCTGTGCACCTTTCTCGTCACACAGGGACATCGCCAAGAACGCACTGCTGCGCTGGCGCGTGTTCATCTACTGGACGCTCTTGGGACTGTTTGACGCACTGGTGTTCTTCTTTGGTGCTTATTTCATGTTTGAAAACACAACCGTGACGAGCAATGGGCAGGTGAGTATGGAGCTTGGTCGCGCTGACTTAGCTGCTTAGGAATAAACCCTGCTGCGCCCATATGCTTATTTTTTCAAAGCAATTATTTCAGTACAGCCCTTGCGACTTCCCGATGGGGTCACTCCCCACCTGGGCGTAGCTACGGGCCGCTCAAAGATGGCGTTACCTGAGTACTCAGTGTCGCTGTTAAGGAAAGGTCCTGCTGAGGTTTTTCAGACTTTATGTGTGTAACTTACAGTTCACCCTCAGCGATTACCTAGTGGTACCTATGCCACGTAGACCTTGCTTTTTTAACGCGGTAGTCAGTTACGTGGTGAGCCCGTGTTAGAGGATTTCCCCAAGCACTGTACGTGAGTCTGGTTTAGTTTTCTAACGGACATTCGGCTCTCTGGTTGTTTGCCTAATCCCTAGGGGTTTGTTTTATTTGTATCTTGCTTTTTTCTTTTTGCCGCTGGCTTCCCTTCCCACCCTCAGATAATGACTACCAACACACATATGGTAAGACAATTGTGGGTTTGTCGTTTCCGTGGTTTTGGAGTGCAAAAAAAAAAAATATTTCTCGAAAATATTTTCACACGTGACTTCCTGTGTGCTTTGTCGGTAGAAACACTGTTAGCTGCTGCTGCCCTCGCATCTGGAGCTCGCTCTGTGTTAGGAGGGTGCGTGCGCATCCTGGGCACGTCCCTGGCCTGTCCCCGCAGTGTCCCTGTCAGGGTTGGCCATCGAGTCCGGGATGTGCTCCAAATTGCCTGGATTCATGGGAGCTTCCCACGACTTTAAGTTAAAGGCGGCACAGGCAGGTGTGGGAGGCCCGCGGGGGACCTGTGCTGCCTGAGAGCCGTGCCAGGCCCTGAGTAGATGCCAGAGACCATCCCTACTTCAACGTCCCAGGTGTTAGCTAACCGAACAAGCAAACACCAGTGCTGACCTCAGAGAAGGTCCCTCTTCAGCAGCCCCTTCTGGGTGACTCCTAAACAGAACTCTGCTTCGTTTCTTGTTTAGCCTGACCTCCCTCTCCCTCTGTGTTTGCCCCTCAGAATGCTGGGTTCAAACACCACAGTCCTGCCGCGTGTCCTGTGCGCCATTTACCTGCCTAGTCGCTTTCGTTTCTCACTGCTAAACACCACCGTTAGCCTTCGTTATAACTTAAATCCGTTTTTACCAGGTCAATTTTGAGAATCCATTCAAATGTTATTTCAGTGTTCAAAAAACTTTACATTTTTCTAGAATGTATTCTTTCTCTTAGTTTATTTTAATTGAATAATTCCTGAATGCCACCGGGCCATGAACATAGTCAAATAGAGCCTACCTGTTGATTCTTTGGTGTCTTTTATAAGATTTTCCTCCGGGTTGGGCTTAGGTAAGCATCTTGCATGGATCTTAAAAAGAACTAAGATCTAGTGTCCTGGGCACTGAGATTCCATAGACCTTAAAAAGAGATAAGCCCTAGTGTCCTGCCCACAGAGGTGCCAGGCGCCTGCCACCTGCCAATAGCAACGGCAGGTCCCCTTTGTCCCAGGCTCGGTTTTCCGGCTTTCTCTCACAAGCGTCATGCTGGGCCTCTACAGCCACCCTTTCAGCTGGACGTTCAGGCCTGTGGAGGCCGAGGAAAGCGAGGGTCAGACAGACTCGACACCCTGAGCAGGGTCAGGTCAGCTCCGGAGGGGCAGGGCCTGGTGACACCCAGATGTCCAGCACGGAACTTCATGGTGTTGCCGGGTGTGTACTCCGGGTTGTTCTGGTTCCGAATTTCAGCATGAATGTGAAGGTGCCTCCCAAGAGCCCCTGGAGATGGCACCCCTTCGGGGGCGAGGACACGGCCGCCACTGTCCTTGGAAGGCTGCCCGGCCGTGCTCCTGAACGAGGTGCTGGCAAGGCAGTGCCAGGGGCTTCTCTTGGCCTTCCCAGCAGGGCTTCTGCAATGTCTCCACCTTCTCAGGTCCCTGGAGCCCTCACGTGTCCCCAGGTGGCTGCACCTGGTAGTCAGTGGGCACGGTGGCTCTGCTGCCCTTCCTGGGATCCGAGGGCTCACTAGCTCCTGTTTCCCGGGCTCTTGCAGCTGTTCCCTGCAGCCCCCAGCTGCATCCTGGAAGGTACCTTGAGCCCCCACAGAACCCAGTTCACCCCCGGGGTGATGCCAGCACTCAGGGAACCCGAGGGCAGTTCTAGTGGCTGACAGCCCTCTTGGTCCTTAGGTAGCAATTGGGGGTTGGGAGCTCACCCCTGAGAATTTTCCCTTCCAACCAGGATGCTCCTGACGGGGTCACAGTGCAGAGGCCCTCAGGAATTGATTGTTAGTAGGTGAGGACTGCTTTGTTTTAAAGACCTAATTTATTCTATAGGAATGTTCTAGATTCTGTGTGGCCCTAAAGAAACAATAGAATTGTGGACACCTTTTTCACAAGTTCACCAGTGGAGCATTTTCTGAACTTCTCATTTTGATGCCACAAATGAGAATGCTAAGACAACAGTTATTTGTTGAACAGCAGGATATTCCTAGGTAAACGTTTAAATGCTTGGAATGTGCTTTGATAGACGTGGAAAGCAGTGAGAACAGCTGAGACATGAGCGGTCCGCGTGTGGGCGAGGTTGGGAGGCACAGGATCTGCACAGGGGAGGAGGCAGTGGGTGCTGCTGGTGACCGTGACCTTGAGAAGGCGCAAGTTACGCTTGCCCTGGGAGAGTTTTACACATAAAAGTTAAGTCGGTCTGGATCTGAGGGCTTGAGCAGAAAACTTGCTATAGGAATACTCATCCTAAAGGAGGGAGGAAGTTGGGGAAAGGAGCTTAGCCTGCAGCAGTGGAGGGTGGCCAGCCCCAGAGGCAGCTCTGCCTGAGAGACTGAGGCTTTCGGCTGCTCAGGTTCTCAGCTGAGATGTGCCTGTCATGCGAGGGTGGGGTCCCACGGAAGTCCGAAACACAAACCTCACCGGGGATGGTGTTGATGTCACTTAGAAAAAAGGCGTTCCTGTGAACAGCCCTTTGAGAAAGAAGATTGGTGTCCCAGTGGTATCCCAGGGGTGCCTGCCACCCCCAGAATCCAATGGGAAATAACGACCAGCAATTGTAATAAACCCTTCGTATTAGTCCATTTTCACATGGCTCTAAAAAGCTACCTGAGACCGGGTGATTTATGAAGAAAAGAGGTTTCATTGACCCACAGTTCTGCAGGCTGTACAGGAAACATGACTGGGGAGGCCTCAGGAAACTTCGAATCATGGCGGGAGGCAGGAGGGAAGCGAGAACCTTCTTCACAAGGTGGCAGGAGAGCGCGTGGAGGGGAAGCACTGCACACTCTCACACATCCGGAGAGCTCACTCACTGTCCTGAGGTCGGCCGGGGGCGTCCACCCCCGTGATCCAACCTCCTCCCTCCAGCACGCGGGGATTATAGTTCGAGATGACATCTGGGTGAGGACAACGCAAACCACATCATGGCAGTTCACCTGGGGCCCCCGCTTCAGGGAACCAAGGGAATAAGAGGGCTTTCCAGACATGTGTTTCACAATAGCTCCACGGCGAACCACGTCCGAAGGATGTGGACACAGGTCAGTGAGGGGTCAGCACTTCTCGGGGCCCTGACCGAAATGCCTGATTCCGGGGCCACGTGGCTGTGCTCTGTGTTGAGCTTACAGCTGTGGCCCATGCGCTCTGCAGGGCAGGCACCCGGAGGCCTCATCCCCATCCCAGCTCTGCCATGACCCCCAGACCCAAGGAGCCCCAGCAGGAAGCGTAGAGAGGCAGTATCTCTGCCCACAGCAGGGAGAGGGGAAGTTGCGGAGGCTGTGTGAGTTGGCCGTGGCTGTCACCTCTGGCGCTGTTGGTGACACATGCTGCTTGACAGGGCATCCTCCAGTTCGTGTCTTGCTGCCCTCCAACTTTTTCAGAGTTCTGTGTTGGGGTGGCCAAGGCGGGGCCCGGGGAGGAAGAGGAGAGCCAGGCAGCGTGAGGGGCTTTTCCTCCAGGTCCAGCTGATGTGCCTGTCTGGGTGCAAAGCTGCCCTCACCATTTGGCCTGCAGCGTTGGCTTCCAGTGACAGCACAGCAGCTTCTCGCCCTCCAGCACCGTGCTGGCCACACGCGCTCTTAGGCTGCTGCCCAGCCACAACTGTCCCTAGAGTCAGGAAGTCTTCTGCCCCAGAAGCGAAGCCAAGAAGAGAGAGTACTTTTTGGTGAGAGCACAGCAGGCCTCCCACCCTGGCTCTGCTGACACTGGGGCCGGGTGTTCCTCACGGGCCACCATCCTGTGACTCGGCAGCTCCTCACCCCCACCCAAAGCTAGCAGACCCCACACCCTAGAAATGTCTCTGCCACGGCCAGGCGTCTCCCTGGGTACAAGGCTGCCCCGGCCAAGAACTACAGCATGTGTAGAGCTGAGTGACACTGGGCCTGTGCTTCCAGCCCAAAGGAAGAGGCCCAATTCCAACCAAGGATGTGTGGATCGGGCCCTAGGAAGCCGGTGTTCACTACAAAAGTTCAAATGCTGTTTTCTAGGATCTGCGAGTAAAATGTTACCCCACTGGCCGTGTTGGAGGACTCAGCCCACACCCACACCGCAGCTGAGTTGGGGCTGTGATGATAGGTAGACTGTTTTGGTCACAAGTGAGTTCTGAAGAAAAGACGTTTGTATTACAGCTTTTTAATTCTTTTGAAAATAAAATTCCCTGAGAGACACAGTTCACAGAATCCCACAAACTAGAAATGGGCCACAGTGAAGGAAAGCAGTTCTCGTGGCATAAAGTTTCCAGTCAGGGGTTTCCCCAAGCCAGGGGGTCTGGGGAGCAGACCCTTTTTGTGGCTTGTGCCTCATGTGCAGTGGAGACGCACGTGGTCCTAGGGTCCACTGTGCCATCTTCACAGGCGGGTGTGTGGTCCTCAGGGGTCC